AAGAAAATGTCACGAGAGAACCAATGAACCCACTGCTAAAACAGCAAAGTTCCGTATGAATGGAGTTATGAGCTTTTGAAGTTTTGAAATTTTGTCCCGCTTTTCCGATTGACTCGTTCCACCGAGCGGCGGGGGTTTTTCGCCCGTCCAGAAGGCGCCAGTCGCCCGGGACCCACGGAGACGAAGACGAAGAAGATGTGTCGCTCCTCGCCGGAGTAGGAAAAGTCAATAAAACGGACAAGTGACTTATTCCAGTCCATCAACTCGCGTTCCAGCGGATGAGCTGCGGCTTAAAAGCCATGCACCGAAAAAATGTCGCATCCGCGCACGTCACGCCGGGAGAAACATCCCTCACGTCTTATTTTAAATAACTCGGAGGGTTGCCACCGCCGGACAAAATACCGGAAAAATATCCAGGGTTCCTACTAACGGAGGAAACATATATAGGAATTCTGAAGTTGACTCCGGAATATTTCCTTCTTCAAGTGGGAAGAATACATTTTGAACATTATTAAGCCCATATGATTAAAAAGTCTTGAATAAGTATGAAAAATTCACGAAATTCTGAAGGAAGCGGCAACCCCATACATTGGAAGGGTCGTAGCCACCGGTAAAACGGGAAGAGCCAGGAAACGCAATTTCCTCTGTGGGAAAAATTACAGGGACTTCTAGGGAGTATACTCGGAAAAGCGGAGAGCATTTTGGGTTTATTCTGCGATGATAGGCTTTTAAAGTTCTGTCCTTTTATTTTTCTGCTGGGTCTGTGAGCCACAAATATGTGCCATTATAGTGATGCCATGAAGTATTACCATAATTTATGTTAAGAAGCAAGCACAACATTTTCATGATATAATTATATCTCAATTTAGCGCAGTATGAGGTGATGAGGTACGACAATGCAACCAGGGTGTCTACAAGTCCGGAATTCCCGAAAGGTCCGGGAATAGTACTGATTTTTGAAGTGCGGTCCGGAAGCATTGGAAAAGTGCGGAAATTCTGCAGGAGGTCCGGAATTTTTTTCATTTTTTGTCATTTTCGTCTTAACTTGGGCGAGGAAGTTTAATTTTTGGAAATTTTCGATTTTTGTCAATTGAAAAAGTACTGAATTTCTTGGGAATGTACTGAAAAAGCGTTGTAAAAGTACTGATTTTTGCCCAGATTGTTTTAATAGACACCCTGGAAACTATTTTCTATGTTTCACTTTAAGTAATCATTTCAATGATTTCAGTTTTAACTCCTCTCGATTCTTCTCTTCAACTCTGGCTCAATTTTTGTACCCGCGCGCAACACGTTGACCCCCGAACTCAACCGATTGTTAGTGCGGGGTTTCCGAAATATATGTTTCTCCAGATCGGGCGGGCGTTGCACCCTCTCATCGTGACGTCATTGACGTCCTCCGCCGCTCCCGGTGTGGTGAGCGTTAATAATGAATGAAGGAATAAGTAAATCTCCCTGTCGCATTAAAAATAGAGGATACAAGTCTCAACAGTCCGCTCGGAATACGCATCGACCTCTTTAAAAATAGATTCACCGCCGATCAAATTCGCTATCTTTAAGCGCTTCGATACGACCACGGACCATCGTGAAGCGTGTATATCGATTAGGCGCCGGTTTCCTTCTTCGATCGATTAATCGCTGTATCCTGCCCGATTTCGACAATTGATCACCTCGATAAATCGGAATTTACCCTCTTATTTGTTAAATTATCACTAACCGAAAGGATAATTCATACCAGATCAGCATTATAAAGTGTTTTTCAGCTTAGATGTCATGAATTTTATTCAATTTTTTATTTTTTCAAAAAGCTTTTAATTTCGATTAGTATTTACCATTAATCGAGGTTCAAGTATTTGATCACTAATCGACTATCGATGGGTATCGATCAATCGATCATTAATCGATGATCGAATCATCCCTACAGGTCTCACGGTGCGTGATGTGCAGCTCCCGCTTAGGGAGGGGGCTATCCGTAAATTACGGAATGCTCCTGAAGGGGGGGGGGTGGTTGAGGTGGGCTACTCTCCCGGGTGAAACTTACTCCCGAGAAACTTTTTCGACGGAGAAACCCACGCTTGCACACGAATTATTCACCCATACTTGGAACTGCACTGAAAACTCTCCCAGGAATTGAGATTGATGCATTGCTTTTTCGAGGACGGACCTTAAGTCGATCGATCAGTTTATCATTTGCACAGATTTTAGGTTTTTTTCCCAATTTTTTTAAATTTTGTTTCAACCTCCCGAAATTAGCATCACGCTGTAGTGCTTCAGTGCAAGATATTAGCGAGAAATTGGAATTTTTGCTTTCGTTGCATCAAGTCACTATTTTTTCTTTTCTTTCGCATGTACAATTTTACCCAACTTTTTAATAAATATTCGAGAAATTTCAATTTCTCTATCTTGCTCTCCGTTCAGTAACCTCAGTATAATTTTTCGTTTTATTTTTTCATTTCTCAACGATATATCTGCCCTCTAAATACTTACCAATCAATTACAATTCTGCGGTCTTTTTTAAAAGTGTTGGAGAGGGGCGGGCGCGGGGGTGAAACTCCCCGGATCGAACGTTAAAACATTTTGACAGGGTTGTTGTCCAGCTCAGCGTTACCGAGCGTTGCAGAGGGGTTACGCCGGTGTCGAAAATCCGCAATACCAGCGTTACGTAAGTTACGGACGCAGTTTAAACGCAGGTGGTATTCTCCTCGTTATTGCCGTCCATTCGTTAGGCCGGTTAGTGCTGAGTGAAAGCATTTCCTCGACCGCTCCGATTTTGAGCACACATAGGACCCACGTAAGCATCGCACGTTTACACAACGAAAGCGTTTGCTTATACGAATGAGAGAGGATGGAATGGTCCAGCGGCTTCTCCAGTAATTTATCATCCGGCTCCGAGTTAAAACTCAAGCCGCTCGCTCAATTTCTGACGTCTGACCTCACATGCATCTTCTTTTCGAGCGGAACTTGATCGCTTGCGCCATTTAAAGCATGAGTGCAGAAAGTTCCAAGCCTTCTCCCTAAGTCAATCAACCTACCTCTTCATTTTTACCAAAATTCATGATCGCTTCTCTCTGAAGATTAGAAAAATTGGACTCTTTACCGCTGGAATGCCGTATTTCTGACGGGGCTCCCCTGTTTTTTTTCTCGTTCTCCCGGAGGATCGTTACAAAACCAGAGCGGTAGCGTAATCGGGAAGTTTCTGCACAACTGAGTCGAAGATTAATTTTTGAATGGGAAGTCTTTAAATGCTATGGATGTTATGGAAATGATAGAGGGTTGTAGTGTGTGACGAGACTGCCTGAAAGCAAAAAAGGAACAAGACAAATTTGAAATTTTGGTAACGAAATGTCAGGAAATATCATTAAAACACTTAAAATATTTCAAGCGAATTTCTTAAATATCGTTTTTATTCGGGTATCAATCCCAGAAACCGAGTGGAAATTTTCCCCTCTTGCCAGCCTTTCCTCTCCCTTGTTCGTGTTCACCCTTGCAGGATTGATGATTTTAGAAAAGGATACATAGAAATATCTCGATCACGCCCCCCCCCTCTTTTTGCCAAATTTTCCGCTGAAATTTTTCCTATCACCGATGCACGTTGGGAGCTCATCGTAGATCAATGAAGTGCGACCATTGAATTTTTCTGAGGTCTGTGGACACTGTGATGAAGCCGAGCAAATTTTTCGTCTTAATTTTAGTTTTTCCTCGGTATTTTAGTCCCTGTCTCCCTGGAAACAGACGTCGAAAATGAATCATGATTGATGATTCCTCACCTCGATCCATTTCGGGAAGCAAGTTTTCTGAAGCTCCGGAGGGGTTGTCAGTCGCTCCATTGTTGCCAGATTGTGCTGAAAATTCATCACGTCTCCCCACTTAACGAAACGTAAAATATCCAGGGTTACCTACACAATCTGGCAACTTCGTCGCTCCTCCTCCACTCGATCCGATAACGGAGCTCATCTCAGGGATATTCGATTATCCAACGAACCGATTAATCGTAATCGGTATCTCGCCTAGTTTTGAAAAGAGATTCCCTCAATTACTCGCAGTTGACAAATCGATCAATCGATTTTGAAACGGAAGTGTAATCGGACGGATTCAATCAAAATCATTCGAACTGTATTTCACGCTGCCTAATCACCTCTTGAGGTTTATTTTCTCAACGGAAACTGAACGACGGAACGTCTTGAAAATGTCTGTGAATTTCCCCTGAATTATGAAGGATATATTCACAAAATTTCAAGGCAAATGTAATACGAGAAAAAATTACGGAACATCTGCTAACCGATTATTGACACTGATGGGCAAAGCAATAGACCAAAAGAAAAAGGAGCGATCTCTTTGGCTCAAACGGGAAAATTATGGGCCAATAGGGTCCCTTGTGGTTTGCCGATAGCTAGTCTATTACTCAACTCCTCTGTTCACTCCTGTCACACCCTTCCACCAGCAGGATCGCTCCTGTGACGTGGCGTGATTAATCGATTATCGATATTTCCCCATTCGAAGGTATCCTGAAGAATCGATTATTAAGCCAATCGTTGCGAACACCCTGTATATCGATCTTTTTCCATATTTTCAAATGGCAGATCAATCGATATATCGCAAAGCACGCCCCGCCACTGGATAGCTCCATTTTCTCTTCGTCTTCTTTGTACATTGATTTCAATAAGTCAGCTGATGCAGTTTCACTGATTTTGGTTTAATTCGTCAAATTCATATGAGAGATAAACTCTCAATGGTTACCTCAAGTTAATTTTTTTTTTTTTGGAAAAGCTTTATCAATCTCGATTAATTTTGTTCAACGGATCGAGATCGAAGTAATCGATTGCGTATCCTAATCGATAATCGAAAGGCACCGGCTAATCGATCGTCAATCGACAATCGAACATCCCCCTCATTTTTCAAGCGACGTATCTCAACGATACGATGTCTTCTCCGGCTTTTTGCTGGGTATCCATCATTATTAGCTCTTGGAAGTCAGGTTAATTTCCTCAATTTGTTGATTACAGGTGGAAGCCGGTGACGTGATCCTGAAAGTGAACGAGACTGACGTTAAACGATACAACACGAAAGAAGGTGAGTGGATTCCCCGCTTCCGATCCAGTGGCGTGGCGCGCTTTGCGATATATCGATTGTTATGCAATTTAAACCTATGGAAAAGGATCGATAAACAGGGTGTTTGCAGCGAACACCTTAATAATCGATACTTTAGCATAGTTTTAAATGACATAACAATCGATACATCGCAATTCACGCCACGCCACTGTTCCGATCATTCAAGATCCTATGATGGATCGATTGCATGCCAAGCCTCCGCAAAACGGCGGTGCGAACTTAACGTTTTTGCGATTCCCGTACAGTGAGTTTTCATCAAAGTGATGGCGGGTGAAGAAAAAAACTTCGTGCGTGGGACCCGAAGTTGAGGTCATATGGATCTCTGAAGTTTTCGGATCACGCATCTAAAAACTTGAGGCCCAGCTGCCGAAGTTCGGGTCAGACGATATATACCGGAGAATTCGGGTCACACATCTGAAGTACTCCGGTACATACCCAAGTGCCTCGATGTCTGACCCGAATTTCGGCAGCTCGACCTCAAGTTTTTAGATACGTGATCCGAAAACTTCAGAGATCCATATGACCTCAACTTCGGGTCCCACGCAGGAAGTTTTTTTCTCCGTGTATTTCGGCAATGATATTTTTCCTCCATTTGTTCTCCATGTCAAGAATGTTTAAAGTTTGTCTAGTGGTCCATTGCATCTATACTATAAGCTCCAAGACCTCCTAATTTTGCGAAACTGGTAACGCTTAGTTCCAGCGTTCTACCTGGCCGATTTTCATGATTTTTGCGGCTATCAACGGGCAATTGTCTCTAGTTTACCTCTATGACTCAACGCCAGGTATCGTGCGAACCAGCGGAGCTTCGCTCTCAACCTATATCGCTGCAGTGGCGTGGCGTGCTTTGCGGTCAATCGATTGATCTGCTATTTCAACCTATGGGAAAGAATCGATTATCAGAGCACGCATGAAGCACCTCAATAATCGATTCTTTACCATAGCCTCAAATGAGGCAACATCGACAGCCAGTGATTTACGCCTCGCCTCTACTGCGTCTCCACGTCTCCGGCGCCGTCAAAATACTTCGCCTTTGTTGTATCCGTCATAAACTCACGACCGCGAAGCGGCGAACGTCGATAACGGCGAAAGTTGGACGTCGCGTCACAGGGAGAGAAGCTTCTTGGCTGCGAGGGAGGTTTAGGGGAGGGGGGGGGTCGGAAGCTGTGTTCCCCGGGCTGGGACGCCGTCGGTGACGCGTCGTTCTCCTCACGAAAGAACGTAACTGAATTTCAACGCTGCCAGATTTTCCCGCGTAAAGCGTATTCTTACCGGGTTGATTTTGGAATCTCCGAACCGAAAATTGCAGTGATTTCTCCTCCAATTCCGAGCGAAAATGAGACAAATTTCAACGGAAATTATGACGGATTTTTCTCGTAAAAATTTGAATTGTTCGAGTCAATTTGGCAACTTTGGGAGGGAGTTATGTTCCTTCGTGCTGGGAACGACGACGTGAGAATTAACGGCGCTATCTATCGATCCCGAGTCCGAGAGACATGCATTTAATTTTAAAGTCGTATCACCACTCACCACTCAATCAAGCGGCCTCCTGTGTCCCGTGTCCCGCATCCCGCGACACAACGCGCCCCGCGCTGAGCAAGCGTTTATAGCAGCTGTTCGCGTGCGGTCGCAGCTTGAGTTGTCAACTCGTCCCGTCGAAAGTTGTATCGACAGTAAGGATAGCTAATACACAGGATTTCATCTTTTGAGGTTTTTTGAAATAGGACCATTGCACGTAGGAGCTCAGTGACAAGAGACCCTCCACTTGCCTCTTGGCGACAGGTGGAAGCTTTTACCTTCGGGGATTCAACAATGCCGTATGGACAATTATAAGGGAGCAACAGTCATCACCCTAATTTCGGCTGTTGATCTACCTACATGGTGGATGATGAGCTTCGGGTGTCGTCATGAGCCAAACAAGTTTCCCAAACTTCGGCCATTGCAAAACGAAACTGCCAACACGTTGTTGAACATTAACCATGTAAGCAAGTCAACAGTTGAATGCTGAAGTCCTGAAAGTAAAAGCTTCCACCATTGCCAAGATACCAGTGGAGGGTCTTTTGTCGCTGTATGAGATGCCCGCAGAGAAAAGTAAAATTAGCCTTACTGCATGGTGTTCAGGACCTAAGGCCGAGCTTCGTTGGCTCTTTCACACGGAGATACAACATCCATCGATGAGTCCAAACCGCACCGCCGCGCCGGCCAATCAGAAACGCTAAGCCGGACTTAAGTGCATTCGAGACTCGTCTTAAGTGTATTATGTTAAGTACGGTGGAAGGACTAACAAAATTCGGCCGTTGGAATAACCGGGATTCATCAGGAAATGAAAAATTAGGGAAAATCTGGGAAAATGTCCCAGAAACCGGGAATCTCTGCTTCTACCGCTCGGAGTTCATGTAATCGGTCCTGAGCCGCCATTGAACTAAGTTCAAAGGATTTGCGTGCATTATAGTTCCGTTTGTTTTATTTCATTTTCACTTAGTTCGTTAGAACAGAAATAGGTGTTACTAGAAACTGACCTGCAGAGATGCTGCATTGGCTCTCTAGTACTGTTTCAAAAATTTGTCGGCGAGTATCCTCATACATATATATGACAAGACAGTCTGATAGCGACGTACTATCATTATTTTTTTCCGTGCACCTGTTTTTTCTACTGCCTGATAAATTCGTTCTTTCTTTGTATCAAACCCTGTAACCTAACTGCAGAGGTGTTATGTTAATGGTCATAGTTACTTAGGCACGGTAAATTAAAGGAAAATTACCACTGCAACCCCTTGTTTCAGTTTGTATGGAAAAAAAGAATGATGAATCGTCGGGCAACGTTGGAAAAAATCTCTCTTTGTTTCCCGATTGATGTTGTGTCTTGGATCGTTGACTTGTCGCTCGGTTGGGTAGCACGTTCAACTCCACAGGTCATCGCTCGGGAGCTTTCGGTTTCCATATCCAAAATAACCCGTCATTCCGTCCGGACAGGCTCGGCTGAATTCCGGACTAATTGAAATGTGAGCGAACCCCTCCGAAAATCAATTTCGCGCCGGAATGAATTTTTCAACGAAAGTTCCCAAGGATTCCATTCGCATCGTGACCAGTGGACATTCGCCCGATCTTCGACGAAGGACGTATCTCTTCTCTCGATGATAACGGAACGTACTAAACTATAATCAGCTTAACTGCCTTTCATTTTGTCGGTAACTTTCTCTCATGTTTCATTCTTCATCATAGAACTAATCAACAGACCGATGTCATGAAATTTGCCTTGAAGTTTTCTCAGATTATGAAAAATGTACTTACACAATTAGACTACATTTTGCCATGGGCCTGTTGCCAACTATTTGCAGGGTGTTCGCAACGAACACCTTAAGAATCGATTCTTTACCATGGCTTCCAATGGGGAAATATCGATAATCGATTGTTTACGCCTCGCCACTGGTCTATGTACGACAATTTCAAGACAAGACAATTTGAATCCATTTCTGATTGGTTCCCGTATTTTAGGCCCTCACAGTGTCACAAACGGGAATAAAGATTACAGTTTCACCGATCGCAAAGATTATGATCTGGAATGGACCGGGGAATTACGGGTTCGGCAAGGAACAAACGGAATGAGGGAAGGAACGAAGAAAGGAATTCGAGAATGGGCCGATCAAAGATTACGAAAAACGTTCAATTTCTGTAATCTTTATTCCCGTTTGTGACTCCATGAAGGGTGTTGTCTTGACTCTCAGTATAAAGGGACTCATTGTACGAGCACTCGCGCAAACCTTCCAATCTCTGCGGGAATGGATTTAAATGAGGGGAAAACAGTGTCACCGGAATGGCCGCCGAAGAGAGAGGAGCGCATTTTTGAGCTTTGCCTCGAGTTGAATAACTTGAGGGAGCACGTCTCTAAAATTACTCACGCGATCGCAGCTAGCGGACAAGAGTCAAGTTCGCCAAGTTCACAGCGCATCCCGATGGGGGAGTTACAGCAGCAGGGAGGAGAAGAGTAAGAGGGGGGGGGGAGGAAGCTAAAAGTGGAACTTTCGCCGTTTGTATTTGAATTCGCTCCGGATCTCTGCCGCTTGTATTCCTCGTTGCAACCTCCGATGTCAGATTTGAGAAGGAATGTTGGCTTTCCTCAGAATAGACCGGTACACCGGGCACAGGGAGCAAACACTGCATTGACGGTCAAACTGCAAAAATATTTTATCAAAACTGCGGGCTGATTCTTGAAATTGCAGAAAAATGCAGCACACCTATCAGCTGAAATGGGTGGTTCTTACAAACGAAAGGAGAAAATGATGAACTCAATGTAGAGTTTCTCAGGAATCGTCTTTGGTTTGTCTATTACTTACCTCCTTCGTCTATTGCAACTATCCGTCGCAACCAATCGATTCGCTCCCGTTTCGCTTTGTCTATCGATTTTGATAACCAACCCGCGGTGGCGATTCTCGCAAATCGGCAGGTTCTCTGCCTTTTGAAGGCATGTAGAAAGAATCGTTATTTTATCGAAACTGACTTCCATTACGCATAATGAATTTAAGTGGAGGAAAAACCAGAGGCGAATCCAGCAATTCGGCAACACCGAATTTTCTCCATTTAAACCTATGATAAATAATCGATTCTTGTCGGAGCACCTGGCTCCTTTAAGAATCGATTTATTCCAATAGGTTTAAATGCAGGGAATCCGTTGTTGCCGAATTGCTGGATCCGCCAATGGGAAAAACGAAGTTCCAACCCGCGAGAATCACCACCGCTTTTTTGCAACGATAATACCGTTCATCGATCGCTAACCACCCCCCTCCCTCCCTCTCGCAAAAGTTCAAGTGTGCGGTCTGAAATCCATCCGCATGCGTGTATGCTCAAACGTTCAACCCTTCACCTTTTGTTTTCGAACTAACTTTCCCCCGCTCGCGGATGGAGTCCGTATGATATCGCAGTCGCACCCAAGCTGAAAATTAGACGGAGCCTAGATTTATCCGATA